CCCCAAAACCCCAAAACCCCAAAACCCCAAAACCCCAAAACCCCAAAACCCCAAAATGTTAATAATTATAGGAAGAAAGTTAAAATAAATTTAAAAATATGGAAGAGACCAGTTCTCAAGACAAACCTCAAGACGAGAGGGAACATAAGGAGGAAACGGAGAATGAGGAACCCGAGCCAACTACTATGATACAGGAGCTTAACGCTCAACCTTCTATTCGATCAGGTCATGCCAATTCGATTGCTTATACTGAGATGACAGAGAAACAAGCTGTCAAGGAGTCTCGTAAAAAGATAGAAAATGACATTCAGTTGCTTAAAAACCGTGTGAGAATGCTCCAGAAAGAGAAAGCCAAAGCTGACAAGAAGATCCTCCAAACAAAAACAAAGGCTGAAGAGATCCTCAAGAGAACTAGCCATAATAACAAATTGTACCAGGACAAGATCAAACAGAGAGAAAAGCAGAAGAAAGCAGAGATAGCTCGCAAATAAAAAGCTCACCGAAGAAAGAAAACAACGTGACCAAAGAATCAAGAAGAGAAAAGAAGAAATCCATGAGATTAAGATGGAAGAGGTCAAGAACTGGAGACACAAAGAGAAGCATAAAATGACCAAACAGAAACGAGATGAGGATAAATGTAAGCTCTGTAGAGATTATATGTAGACACCAAGAGCATCCGGGCCAGACAAGCAGGTAAGTCCCACCACCTGACCTTTAGCCGAGATTAAATTAAGTGAAGAAAAAGCAATAGAGAATAAAAGACTCAGACAAGAAGAGTTAGCTCAAGCTAATCGAATTCAAACCCAGATGAAGATAGAAGAGGAAGCTATGAAAATAGACTCCCTTGAGAAGGAAGCACAAAGTCTTGAAGAGATAGAACAGGAGTTGTTAAACAAACTCCAAAATACACAAATGATGGAAAAAGACGCATTCGCAGAACTAGAGAAAGCAATGATTGCCTCCTCGGAGAATAGAAGACAAAGGTTCGAGAAAAATAGTTAACTCTATTTTCAGAAAGCTTTAAGGGGTTTTGGGGTTTTGGGGTTTTGGGGTTTTGGGG